AGCTGATAGTGTTTTTGACAGCTTCTCATACTTTCCTTGCATGGTATCAAGTTTAGTATAGAGTGGCACACCCCCATAGGGGAAAAGTGTAAGAATCATTTCTCGGTGCTCGTGAACTCTATCCACGCCATAAAAGACAATGGGCTCTTATACAGAGCACACATTCCTAGCAACAGATTCAGATTCAGAGAGGCTATAAATCAAGCTCTGTCAAGGCATCTATAAGTTAATAAATTATGTTTTATGAAATCATGAGAATAACCTGCTGAGGCCCTGGGACATGTCACTTGTGGAGTCTGTCCCAAAGGGGCTGTCGTTGGCTGGCGTTTCTCTGCGTGTTTGACTCAGGTCATCATCAGGGTCACCAACTGAGCTCTTCACCCTCCTCCTCTTCTCCCTCTCCACCTCTTCCTCATCCTCCACAGTCCACTGGCGCGTTAGGCTGAGGGCAGAGTCATAAAGCACATAGCAAGACATAATGATCAGCAAATGTTCAGATCAGAAAATTAAACAAAGGCAGACATGAGTCCTGAAATAAATGATAGGTAGAAGATACAAATGGGGAAAACACGCCAGTGTCCAAATTATCTCTTTACTTCTATGAAATCTTCAAAAGTGAACCCAATTATCTGATTGTTCTCTTGTAAAAGAGTGTTTTCACTATCGTTACACAAAACCAGCTTTACTTGTTCACCAGCTGTTCCATTAGTAAAGTCACAGTCGGTTGCTTGTAAGCAAATTAAGGTATTCAGTCTATTGGATGCGTGTGTGCTACTAGTCAAAGGTTTGGACACACCTTCCCATTGTGATAGTGTGTGCAAACTATTGACTGGAATGTAGTCTGTTGATGCAAGCAGTTACAAAGGAGCTGACGTTCCGTCTGGACAAACACTTTTCGAGGGTGAAGTGATATAAATAATCTAATTCTGCACTTTAATCTGAAAAACTGCGGCTGTGACTTAAGTCACAGCCGCAGTTTTTCAAACTATTCAAACATAAGATAGAAGTGCTTGTAATAACGAAACCAAGGGAGACGGAAAATAATGTGTGAGTGAGAAGGTTAGGCTGTTACTGTAGCCACTATAAAGTCTCTAAATAAATGCTGAAGCTAGTCACATGCGCTAAATAAAAACCTATACGTAAATAAACCTATACCTACTATAAAAAAGGAGAAGCTGCAAGTGGTGCTCCCAACAGCAGGTGTCATAAAAATAAAATCACTGGCTTAAAAATCTTACCTGGATAAAGCCGACCAGTTTTTCCGAACGATGGACATATTGGACGAAAACCTAAATGAATAAAGCTTCCAGGTGCACTCGCCTGGTTGGCACAGTGAGGGCAACAGTCTAATTACAGTTAGTGCAGCACAAAGCAGTGCACCTTTACCCCGAAGCGCCTCACCGAGGCGTCACGTGACTACAAAGGTAAGCTATACCCACCTGACCGAGAAAGAGAGAGAGAGAGAGTTGTTCTCCTTGTATGGGCTGAAGCGTGGCACTAAAGATAACTGGATAAGATAAATTGGAAATATTAACGCAAGCACAATACCCAGCATCATCATCGTTAGTGTTTCTGTTCTTAGCCCTCAAAGCCGCTAATTACATTGTAACTATTGCATCACTCACCAATTAAGTGTGAAATTGTTATTCAGGAGTTACTCAGAAATTACAAAGCAATTACTGTAAGCGCAAAATATCAGAGACAAGAAAAACAAAATAGAATTACATTAAAAATATACATGAAAGAAAACAGTAAAACCCTCATGTAAGAGAAAATAGGTCAACTGAATTGGATGATCTTCTATGAAGTGTGAATAACTATGGATATATTGTAACTGTACCCGTCTGGGTCTGATGTCTTGTTGCACTGGACAGAGTTTATTTATTATTTATTTTATTTATTTGTTTATTTCGAGCAATAGTAACATAAGGCAATAAGAAGCATTCACTCATACAAGGTATAGTCACCTTACATTTACAACATAGGTCAGTCAATAAGAGTTTCTTTACACTGTGAGTCAGACTGTTTGCCTTGCTGTTTGATGCCACACCTTTTCCCTGGAGCATGCTGGACTCTAACCCAGGTTCAGGATCAGTCCGCACCCTCCACCTTACTCGGCTTTACCACACCTGTAGGCTACCCGCTGAATTCTGTGCAGGTCATGAGGCCACAACAAACAGAATGAAAGTGAAGCACATGATTCATATTTGGTGTGTGTGTACGTGTGGAAATATAAGGATGCTTCAGTGATATTTGCAGAAGGATGGCTTATAGTTTGTGTCATTACGATGCTGATGGTGTTGACCTACTTTGAATGTCAAAGGAGCAATGCATGCAGCAGAGTACGTTGAAATACTTTAAACTAAACTTTGAGTGCTTGTGTGTTTGTGTGAATGTATGCCCTTGTAGTATTGAACTGCATTACTGTGCCTAAACCTAAAATTGCCCTTACATTTTCAGGGAAGACCTGACCACTTAAATAAGTGACAGACATTCCCCCTCCCATGAGGTAAAAAAGGCTCTTTGCATCCTGCTGGATAAGGCAATAATGATTAAAGACTGAAGCATGTTTTAAATCATGATTTATGAGCATGCAAAACAGGACATTGGCTGAAGTGGACTGTTGCACAGCTGCGGACAGCTGGCAGATATGTTCAGTATACAGTGGTAATATAAAGTGTCAACCGTATGGAATTATTTGCATTTATGTCTTAAAATATAGTCAGGTCTTCATCTAAGTAACATTTATGAACAAACAATTTTAATTTAACTAATAGCACTTGTATTGTTCTTGTTTATATTGAAGAAATCATTCAGACATTCTAGAAAAAGTATAAGTGGACCCCTAATGTCAACAAAGGCTAACTGAAGCCAGGAGTTAAAAGAAAACAAAATCACCGCATGATCAAGGTTTGTTACAGTAATACACATTTTAATATGAATACTTCATCCCAGAAGTGAGGCTTGTTGGAGAGTCATAAGGCTGCTTCCCTGCCTCTGGGCCCAGACAGCTTAATGTCATCCAGGGGAAAATGACTTCCAAAGGTTATCAAGGTATCTTGGAGGACAGTGTCAGGGTGTCTGTCTGCCAGCTGAAGCTCAACAGAAGTTGAATGATGCCACAGAACAATGACCTTAAGCACTGAAGTAAATCTACAATAGAATATCAAACAGAAAACCCACCTTCTGGAGTGGCCCAGCAGACCATAGCCTAACAGAGATGCTGTAGAGTAAACTCAAGAGAAGCTCTCACACCAGACATCCCAAAAATATCTCTATGAAGCTTGTAGCTGCTGCAAACGGAACACTGCTGTAACAAGAAGACTGATCTCTTATAAACTGTTCTAATATTCAGGATTTTTCTGTATTCACCTTAAATCAGAGCATGAGTTTGTGAGGTGTGAGCATGAGGTGTCACAAGTAGGTTGGAGGACAATCATGGTCAAACATTTAAACTTACTTTTGTAAGTATGGAAACTTGAAATCTCCACTGCACATACACTAAGGGTGGACTTTTCAGTAAAGTAGGATGCATCTTGTGTCTGGTAGTTTAAGTTTTGAAATGAAATATATCTGCATATATAAATTCTGGGTTAGGGAGAATAGGGGAGAATGAGCAGATACAATTTTAGGAATTCCAGCAACACAATTTAACATTATTTTTGTGGAAAAAACATGAGAGACAAATAATACAGGAATAACAAAGATGCAGTTTAATATGGCCACATCATATTATTATCAACTATGTATCTCCATAAACACAAGCTGGACTTTTAGACATTTCTGTATTACTACAGTATAAGCGTAAATTTCTGGGGTTCAGGTGCAATATTAATTATGAGAACAGTATAAATAACTGAACATTGCACAGAGATATAGTCACTTTTAACACCTTGCCAGTGAACAGCAAACAAAAGAGAAGAAAAGCTCTAAGGAGTCTGGGGGCATCTTCTCAATGCCATGGCAGGAGCATACCTAAGGATGGCAGTGTGATACAGAAAATGAGAAGTTGCAAAAACTGTAGCAAAACTATAGCGATTGAAATGCAGGAGGACTAATTGTACTTCCATGACACAAGCCCACTGTCTTGTGTTCACTGGGCAGGACCCTTAGCAGCATCAAACATCTTCTTTCTTCCCTCCATCCCTGACATGGCCTCCACATTCTTCCTCCAGTCACTGTCTTCAACTGGTCTAAGGTGCAAATTAGACAGACAGACAGACAGACAGAGAGACAGATGGTATAAAAGAATGTGTCTTTTCAAAGAGATTGTGAAACAGAGCAGTTTCACTTTTTATTGTCATTATTGTTGTGCCTAAGCCTCTAAGACTCATGATGTCACTTGAAAATCCCCTATGAGAATACTGGATAATGTACCAGTATAACTGGTTTACAGCACCTAATATACTCAGAGCCACACACATTCATACAAACAAACACACACACACACACACACACACACACACTGACCAGTGAGCAGAACCAGTCACAAAACTACTCTTTTGTGTACAGTGGAATCATTGTCTTACATGCTCTACCTCTTCCCACACATACAGTCACCACCCTACACTGGCCTGCTCAGTATATCTCACACACTTTTCACACACACAAACACACTTTCAGGTGTTTAATGGCACATTAAGCTTTGACATTATGTGTTTATCTAAAATTTCATTGCACTTACCTTGCATGTTTGCCTTAAGGCTAAGATGGAAGACATCTATCTATCTAAATGTACTGTATATGTGTGTGTTTTCTCTCTCTCACTCTCTGTGTATTTTTTTCACCACACACCTTCTCAGTGTCCTCTTTCTTGACAGACTTGAGGTTTGCTCGGAGGTCCATGGAGACTTTATGCTTGGAGCCCAGCAGCGAGCGGAGGATGGCATCAGCAGACACACGAACACGTCGAAGATTAGGCCTCTTGAATTTCCCCCTGAGGTCCAACACCTTAATGTTCAGGTCTTTAATCTGGGCCAGGACCAGAGATTTGAGAAGCATTTACCAATAATGCTGTAGAACTTTCTCATGGTGATAGTTCTACAGCATCCCAAAAGCAGATCTTGTATGATGTTGCTTTACTTAACATTCCCAGTTCTGTCTGTCACAGGGAAATGCATTACATGTGCATTAAACCTACCTGACGTGTATTGAGCATAATTTTAGCCTCAATGTCATATCGCTCCTCATCAACCACATCTATCTTGGCATGGAGCTCCCTGCAGAGATCCTGCAAATGTGCAACATACACACACCAAAGTTAAAAATACAGTAAGTGTGTTGTTATTTCGCAGTCACAGATTTAGCTGTTTTCCAGAGCACTGTTAAATTTGTGCATCAGAATTTGTTTTTATTTCTTAAAGCATCGGCAGACAAAAATGAGCTAAAGCATTAATGGTTGCCTTAATGTAAAAGAACTGAATTAATTAGAAAAAACGTATATAGACGATTATTGCTTTATAGTGACAATGTGGAGGAAGAGTTCTTTGAAAAAACGTGCCCTAACAACTGCCTGTAATGACTGTATGGCAGCTGCATTGTCTTTAGCGGCCTTACTGGTTTTGAATTACTGAGATGTGAGATGTAACGCATTACCTGCAGCTGTGCAAGGCTCATGCTGCTGGTGTGTAGAGGAGGAGATCTCTCTGCCAGATACCTCTGTTTCTCCTCCTCTTTATCCAGACTCTCCTGCTCCAGTTCCTCCTTGGCCTTTGTCACCATCAGACTCTGCACCATAAGTGGATATATACTATAATCACATATTACAGAATACTGTTCTCTAGTAAAGCACATCAAGTTGACATATTTTTAAAGGTAAGGTAAAACATTCTCATAGGACAGATGCTACATATTCAGAGTTATCTGTTATTCATCTGTCTCTACTGCCCCCCTGTGGTAAAATTATATTTATTACATTATATTTTGGCAGGATAATTAGGTCCATATTCTGTCTTACCTTGAGCATCAGCTTTCTTGAAGCTGAGATTTTTGGCTTCCTCTGGATGGACAGCATAAGTCAGGACATTGTCAACAATATTGCAGCTTAAAAAAATATAGTATCTGAATCCTTTCTGTAATATGTTTGGCAATGAGAAAATGTTTTGTGACAGTCATGGTCGACTGGTCTTACCTCTTGCCTGTAAAAGAAAAAAAGACAAGAATTTGAAATGACCCCTAAACAAAGCTCAGAAATATTTGTTTTGTGCTTGTGTGTCTATATTTGGGAATAGGCTATAATAAGAACATAAATCCTCACTCACACAAAGCCTCGCTCTGGCATCCTGGTGGTGAGATTTCACTGGAGGAGAGACAGAAGAGATTAGAAACACACACATGCACACACGCTGAACAGTTGTTAGTCTTTGTTCCTTAGCTTTTGGCAGCCAGATCATCTTTCTACACTTCTCCACAATGTGGTCCATTTCAGTGTATGTAATCTGTCAGCAACCATGCAAAACTCTTCACACAGTCTTTTACCCCACTGCTGGCTAACACTCTTGACATTTAACTGTCATACTTTATGTCTAGGCTCTACTTTTAATGACTCACTAAACTACTTCCTGCATCTTTTTTATATGATTAAATTCCATCCCCTCATTAGCTACACAATGAATAAACTCTTGAAAATGGGTGGCAACTGTAAATCCACCATAAAGTCTAGTATTACGGTTACTGGAGTTTGGAGCTCTCTGCTGCTGGCACATGTATCCACCCAGTATAATGGAGGGAATTGCAAACTTGTCTGTTGCGCATTCAACTTTTCCATTACAAAACCTCAATGGCAGCAGGGCTGTTAAGGAACTGGTTTGCCTGTTTTTCAAATTGATTATCATTCCTCTGCCGTCGGACAGTTTTGCTTGAAAATGTTGTCTTCCCAAAGAAGATCATGGAATGTGTGACACTGACCAGGGCACAATGTGAGATGATACTATGTCCAACAATCACTTAAGTCATCTTGTCAACACATTGTTTTATTTTCATGTTTGTCATCACCTCAGCTCCCCTCCCCTCTGCTCCTTTAGTTTCATTCCCTTCTGCCCTTTAGTAAATAAGCAAGCAATTTACAGCACTTATCCCCTCTCTGACTCGTCTTATCTCACCCTTTCACTCCCATTTTACTAGTTGGTTTGAGCACCTATGACCTCCTATCATAACAGGGTTATAAGCTGCTCCGGCGGATTAGGAAAATTCCAGACTGATGGCCATCCCTTTTCTATATCAGCCTGTTCTCATCCTCATCTTTCTACTCTGGATTATCTCAGGGAGAGGAATTCAGAGTGGTCTGTCTCCCTAAATAGACTTGGGGACATCTGATAGACAGCTGTGAAGGGTGTCTGTGCTCTGGGGTGCCCGGCCTGGATCAGGGATTTATATGTAGCAGCTCATGGATGTTTACGAGCTTCTGTGGCGCAGCCAACTTGGCAATCCAAAAAACATCCCAAGGTTCTTTGGAAAGTACACGTCAGCCTTGGATTTGAGAGCTGCTTTGGCTCCAGATTTCAACCGTCTGTATTATTTCAGGTCCTGCAGAGTGTTCTGGTTAAAGCAGTTATGATTTAGTTACAGCCACATGGATGAAATCAGGCTACAAACAAAATTACATGAAATCACTTTATAGCTCTGTACATCTCTATTAATGCCCCTGTTTATTGGATTGGCATACACTGTCCACTGATCCCCCTTTAAGACATGTCATCAGTATGTCTGTGTGATCTGTTTCAAAACAATGACATATCCACTGTTTAAAGCATTAGCTCATGAACTGTTTGTGAATGTGGTTAGAAGGCAGCTTTTCAACAAACAAAAGGTTGAACTAGACAAATGTATTGTAATGTATCTGTTCAAACTGTCATGCATTAACTTTATGTAAACATAAAGCAGAACACCACACCTGAAATGAAAAGTGTCGCATACCACACTATACCTTACCAGTGTCAGGAGCAGGAAAAGGAGAAGCAACAGCGGCACGAGGCAGGGTGGACAGATCAGAGATGAGGCCAGTGATGTGGTATCTCTCTATTTAAATGCACCACCCATTGTCTCACCCTCTCTTTCTCTTTTGTCAGTGGAGGCTATTATTAGTCTTCTCCATCTTGCTTACTGACTAATCTTGCTCTATTTGACTCTCGCAGATTCTTTATGAACCAGAGGTCAGCAGTTAGACCCTGGAGCTTTGGCTTTGTATGACAGAAGGACAGCTAGCACTCACTGATTGTCTGGGAAATGAGCTGAAACTAAATTAAAATGACAGCAAAAAGATGACACTAATGAATGTTACATTTAGATGTGCTAGAAGAAAAGATGGCTGTGCTATGTAATGGCTGGAGACCTCTATGTTGTTCTGCAGTTCTTTGAGCCAAAGTGAAATATCTCAACAACTATTAGAGGCACTGTCGCTACATTTTGTAGGATGTTCATGATTTGCAAATGATAAATTCAAAGGACTTGAAGAATTGCCTGACTTTTCCTTCAAGCCATATTAAGGTCAACCTTTTTGTTTTGTTCAATACTTTTGTTTACAATCAAATAGGCCTGCATGTAAAACTAATGACGTTCCCATCATCCTCAGCTGTACTTTGTTTTAATTAATAATTAACAAATATTAGCATGCTAACACCCTAAACAATAGGTATATTCATATACTGTGCATCTATGTGCTAAACTATGTTGTTAGCATATCAAACAGTATACAGTACCTGCTAAACATCAGCATGTTAACATGATCACATGATGACATTAACATTTGCCTTAAAGCTTGCTGTGTCTAAGTGCAGCCTCACTGAGCTGCTTTAATAGTGTAGCTTCTTAGTATTGTTTACCACACCCATTCCTCAAAGGGCAGATCAAAATACTAGACATGTTTGCAGGGAAGCACTTGGGAATTGTGTGTGTAAAGCCTCCTGGACAGACTCACTTGACAGATGAAACTTCAGGGCTCTATCTGTAAACCTAATGAAAATAAAGGGGAGCCCAAACATCAAAATTAAAAACATAGGATTGTCATTTGATTTTATTTCCAAGTTGACTGATAGATATGTAATACTACATTAAAGGTATTGATATTTTTTTGATAATGTGTTTTCTGATATGACATGTTTCTCTCTGTGATTTTTAAAAAGAGGGATAAACAGACTTACATTTTCAATTGTAATTAGTTAAGAAACATACAAATTCCTAAAATAAATATTTGAATTTACCTATAATGTATACAATCAAAAAGACCACTTAGACCTTAATATCTGCAAATGGATGGAACAATTGTGGTGAGGGTGTCGAGTTACTTTGTATCCTGGGACAACATTGAAGCTGAGGCTCAGTCCAGGAGAAAGATGTCCTTCAGTGGGATAAGACATTGTACCTAATGTAAAACAAACCCATTTGATGTTATGTGTATATCTTTAACAACAGCTATTAGTTTATTAGATTTTCACCAAAGGAATTGATACCTTTTCTTCTACACCACATTAGTTTTATGTTGTCATGATGTGGTGCCCAGCAACAAAAAGTAATTAGAACTGCTTTTTCCCCTGATTTTCCTGTAAGGTCTATGCTTTTAGCAAATCAGTTTTTACATTATAGGTTCAAGAAGTATGTTCATTGCATTTATATAAATTCTGTTGGGTCAACTTTAACTTTGTCAGGGTTTTTTTGTTTTAGATTTTTTTAGACTGTACCTAAATTGTAACATTTATAACAAAGAGAATGTTAAAGAAGACCATGTGCCTTTCACACATCCACAGCCAAACAACAGTGCACAAAGGTCACTCCACTTAACAGGAGAGAGACAGACCTCTAGTGGTTTAACATTAACACGGCAACTCCAGCTTGTAAGATATTACCCAGTTCTTTCAACCAGGAACTCTGAGAGACGATGCAGACCACTTGGATATATAAAAAATATAACCGTGCTGGTTTATTCAAAGGATCACAGGCAAAATTAACATCACACGTCCAGGCATCTTCCACCTCCAGTACTGCGCGCAGGCAGCCCGGAAGATGAAA